ATCGATTCGCCCACAGACAGAATTTCAAGCAGTCATGTAACGACGACTCCGGAGAAAAAGCCAAGTCTGAAAAGCCTGATTTCAGAAAAGGGTTTCCACGAAAAGTCACACGAATACCGGGCCTGCATAAAATTCTTGGCCGCTATACGTTCAAAAGACGAGGCAGATACTACGCAAATAGTCGAACTAGTATCTCCTACAGAAAGCCCAGAAAAATCATCTACGGAATTAGAAGTTTTATCTGTAATGAATTTACAAAAGGTAGAAGAAGGAAAGGATGATTTCGAAGAACATCAAGAGAAACAAAATAAAGAGGACCCAATGACAACCAAAGATTGAAATTATACCATAAACTCAGTTCCGTCCTAAGGGGACGTAAAACTACGGTCCTAAAGGGACATAAAACTCTAATTTTTGTTTATATCTTTATTGTTTTCGCGAGGGGGAATGGCATCCGGCCGGATTGGCAATGTACTATATAAATATTTTTACATTGCTAAGCTCACTGTGTTGAGCTGGTCAATTGACCTTGATGGTAAAACTAACGAAGATTTTAGTTTATACCGTTAGAACCTGAATAGAGAGTTTACGAACCATTTATTTTATTTATGCTCTCAGCCTCACTCACGTTTAGCTCGCCAATCCGTTCGGATTCAATATTAATATTAAGCATACCTAAAGGTATGACAGTGGAGTTGGGGTGTTGGTTAAGTTGGGGGTGATTCAGGAGGGGTGATTCAGTTATAAGAGGGTGGTTCATGTGGGGGGAGGGGGGAGTTCAGGTGTGGGGGTGGTTCAAGTGCGATGGGGGTTGGTTCAGCTGAGTGGTGCGGGTTGTTCAGGTCAGAGACTTTGAACAGCTTGCGTATCAAACTGAAATATTTTGCGAACCAATTTGGTCTCTGAAACAATTTGAATTAACTCAAACTGTTATAGCTGGGATTGTTTGTCTGAAATAATTGAATTTTTTGTGATCACTCTGGAATATTTCTAAAACTCTTTGACTGCGGCTTCAATGGAAAAACCCTAACGTTTTGCCATCCGATTTGCTTTATGAAATCACTTGAAAGGTTTTAAAACTAAATTTCATTTTCTTGAGAAGCTTGCATAGAGAGACCTCATATTTTTGTCGAGTGGTTCGGTCTAAGAAACAATTTGATAGATTTCAAATTTTCCTAGCGTGAAAAGAAAAACTTAGATTTCTTGCGATCCATTTCGCTTCATAAAAAAATGAAATACTTCATAGTTGATTTCCGTTTTTGTTTCAATTTTGTTGTCTGATCATAACATGGAAATCTGTTATAATAACAAAAACTTAGACTTTCTGCGCTTAAATTTGAAAATTTATTTCACTTGTGATCATTTTTGTGAAACTATCCTCCTTCAAGATTGCCAATTTGGCTAATTTGGGATAACCCTCACTGGATTTCCATGGATAAAAATTGATTGAATTTGAGTTTTATTGTATTATTAAGTGAAAAGTGAAATATTATAATCGATTTTTTCCACTTTGTTGAGATACCACTTTCAAAGTACACAGAGTCGTTTGCACTTTTTAAACTTCAGTTGGTTACATGTTGTGTAATTTAACTTTTTTTCTCTACAACTTTGATTCTTGTTACTCAATTTATGCTACTAAATTTTGTTGCTTCCAAAAATTTTCCCTAATCTGCTGAGACATTTTGCGAAAAATGCAAATTTTTGACCAAAATATTCCAAAAATGGCGTTTTTGACCTGTATTTTCAAACAATTGACTTAAAAAATATCTGTCAAAACGTTTGGGGTTCAACAATTACAACTTGGGGGAAAGAGGTGTCGTTTGGTTCAGGTGGGGTTTGGAAAATGATTTGGATATCTTAGAGGCGCACAAAAATTTCCAACGTAAGCAGAATTGAAAAAACAACATCTCATTATTTGGATAATATCAAAAATTTGGGATTATCTGAAAAAGACACTTTAGACCCGTTCTCTTTTAAGACGAATCTCACTTGCACATTTTGATCGATAAACACCATTACCTCAAAATAGTGACAAAAAAAAGTTTTTTGTTTTAAAGAAACGCGGTTATATTTGTCCTTTCTGTATCCAAAAAGACGGATTACATTGTCTTCTTTCTGATGACGTGGTTCTGAAATAGTTGCGTTAAAGTCAGCAGGAGAACTTAGAGCCTCAATTTAAAATATTTCGTTTCTGGTTTCCAGTTGGCCCTGTGTTTAATGTGCATACCATACCGTCAACCCTAAAACCCCCAAAAAAATATCGGACTGCAAAGAATCTTCACACTTTTTTGAAACATGTTATGTCGAAAAAGCTGTCGATTACGTATAAATCAGGGCAGTTAATTGTTTATAGGTGAAATGCGAGCATTTCAAGAACTTAGGTGAGATAAAATTGATCTTTAAAAAGATTGTTATTAAATTTTAGATTGTCTGAAAACCTATTTGTCTGCAACTTCCTGTAGAATTTTAGAAGTTGTTAAAAATTGTAGTACTAAAACAGAAAAAAAACTGTTTCATTTGAAATTGGAGCATCACTGATGTTACTTCTGTGCAAAAGTCTGAAGAAAGGCAACTCACAATAAATTTAAGAAAATAGTCAGTTCTTCGCAATACGCAAACAAAGTACCGGCCTCAGAAATGACTCTTAAAGAAAGACTCCAAGGTTGAATTATTATTTGAAAAACTGAAAATTCATCTTTTTTGTTCGGTTCTGTTCCTGGAAAAAATAGTAAACAAAATGTTTTCAACAAATTTTTCGGCATATAACGACAGTTTTTCCGAGTTTTTTTTTTGAAAACCGAACAATAGTTTTGATTAGAAACTGAACTCATAATTAGATTCTACAGCAATCTTAATTGTTCCGGCCACTGAAAATGGGGATGAATTTGTATTTGTGTGATGTGTAGTTTTGTTTTTCTTTTTGTTTTGCAAGCAAAATCTGGTACCACAACTAATCATCAGAATGGGTCGAGTAATTTTAAGGCATATTCAGTCGTGAATCGAACAACATTAAAAATATGGGAAATATTTTTCTCAGTGTTGAGAAAAATCCTTTTGAAATGCTTGATTTTTGGTCCAACTTCCCTCAAATAAAAAGAGCTAGAGCAGGCTCTTTTGTTTTTCAACAAGGAGCAGTGCCAGAAGAAATCATCGGAATAATTGAACGATATATCAAATTAAAGCTATTTCAGCCCTGATTCGAACAGTTATCACAGTGTCGAGAAAAACTGCTTAAAAGTTTTTGATTTTCAGTACAATTTCGAGCAAGTAAAATGAGCGAGCAGGCGTATTATCGAAAGATACGCTGTTAGATTTAATTTGACTCTGGAAGTTTATTAATTGAATTTTGCAGTGCAGTTTTGAAAATAAAAACTTCAAAAATTTTAAATAAAAAGCTTCCCAAAAAAAAATTTAATAATTTTTTTAAATTTTTTCATGTTTTTTTTTTGTTTTTCTCAGCGTTTTCCCACAAAAAAATTACCCAATAAAACTCGTTTCAACTTCAAGGCTAGACAGTGCCTGCCCTTTTTTGTCCAAAAGTTTGCCTTCACCGATTCTTTTCAGTCTGAAACAAATCAACTCAAAACAGCAACCACCATGCTAAAAAAAGAATTTTTAGCACACCGATTCGCGCCATGAAGTATTGTGATTTAATTCATACAATCATTGCCTGAACAGCTTGCTTATAAAACCTAACTAATATTTTGCCATCAGACTCGCTCAATGATATAACTTGTATTGTTTCAAATTTTTGTAGCTTGATTATCTTGCTAAGAAACACTTGAATTTTCGCCAACTGATTTGGTATATGTAAAAATTTTAAATTTTTCAAAGCTTCGAAGCTGGAACAACTTATTTAAAACAAATTCGATACAAATTCGATATATAAAACACAAGCGATTCGGTCTATGAAATAACCTGAACTTGAAAAATTCAAAGTTCATTAGCCTGAACAACTTGCGTAGAAAAATTAAACGTTTCGCGAACCGATTAGTTCTGAGAAATAACGTGAAACACTTCAAGATTTTTTAGACCGAATCGATTGGCAAAAAATTTAAATTTTTCTAGGAAAACAATTTCAGCTATAAAATTTTTTGTTATTTCCTGTTAGTTCGCCGACTGAATTGAAAACGAAATTTTTAAACTTTCTACGCAAGATGTTCAAGCTATGAAACTTTGAACAGCTTGCGTATCAAACTGAAATATTTTGCGAACCAATTTGGTCTCTGAAACAATTTGAATTAACTCAAACTGTTATAGCTGGGATTGTTTGTCTGAAATAATTGAATTTTTTGTGATCACTCTGGAATATTTCTAAAACTCTTTGACTGCGGCTTCAATGGAAAAACCTTAACGTTTTGCCATCCGGTTTGCTTTATGAAATCACTTGAAAAGTTTTAAAACTAAATTTCATTTTCTTGAGAAGCTTGCATAGAGATACCTCATATTTTTGTCGAGTGGTTCGGTCTAAGAAACAATTTGATAGATTTCAAATTTTCCTAGCGTGAAAAGAAAAACTTAGATTTCTTGCGATCCATTTCGCTTCATAAAAAAATGAAATATTTCATAGTTGATACTTCAATATCTTGCTTTAAAGAGCTTAATTTTTTTTTGAACCGATGCTGTCTATGAAGTTTAAAGTTTTTCAAATAGTTGTACGGTATGGTTTAACTTTAAATTGTTCGAACCTTATTTGCTTGAATAGCTTGATCAGAACAACAAGTTTTTTTGCGATTCCATTGATGCTTGGAAACGGGCTTTCTGGTTATACATGAATTTGCGCTGGAAAATAGCGATCACTGGAAAAGTACACAAAAAGCGACAATTAACGGTGGGACTTCAACCCGGGCTGACTACTTTTGTCATTTGGAACAAAAGTATTTATCAAAACGAAATTTGTAAGCTGAAAGTTTCATTTTCTTCTGGAAAAAACTCCTCAGTAATCAATGCATTCAAAATTAATGGGAAAATTATATTTAAAAAATTTTATTTGCCTCATTAATAATAATTATCTACAATTTAATTGCACTCAGTTTGTGTAGAAAAGAATCCATTAATTTAAATCAAAAAAAACTCGTAGTTTTTTCAGGTCAACTGAATTTGAATCATAGTCAAATTAGCTTCAAGGGTTTGAATTCGGTGATGTCTTTTCGAACATGTTATTCGGTTGGTCGGTGTTTACTATTGTTGTTGGTTGATGCTGTTGGGTTTCTTTGCCCTTCATTTTTAGCATAGCTGTCTTGTTGTGTTTTCGGATCTCGGCCGCGTCCTTTTTCTGTTTTCTCCACTTAGCACGCCTGTTTTTGAACCAGACCTGAAATGAAAAACATTTTGGTTCAATAATATCTTTCACGAATAAAGTGGAAAGCAATATGATTCAAATAAAATCTTTCACAAAGACTTTTGAGTATTTTTCAACTGATTTAGCAATCCAAGACCAAGTTAACATCCTCCTCCTCCCCCCACTAAAAAAAAACAGTTTAGGGGGGAGGATGTTAAGTTGGTTCGAAAAATGAAGGATCTGCAAGGAACCCAATCAAAGAAATAATTTATATTAAACACTAGAGTTATTAAGAAAAGATTTTGGATCAAACTAAGATTCTACACCTCATTCTCATTTTGGATTTTCGGTTTGAAAACGCTTTAGTGCTGCGTGCGGAAAATCCAGCTTAGGTGAGTTAAAACAATTTAGGAGAGGAGAGGGGGTGGGGTGTGTTTAACTTGGGCCGAAATTTCAAAGAAAACTTCACAACTCTACTTTTTTCTTGATAGAGCAACTTTAAAAACGAAGCTGACTTCAAGAAGTTCAAGTTTTCTGTTAAAAGTAGAATTTTATATTCTTGAGCTGGGTCAAATAAAGTTTTGCCAACTGATAGATTCATAATTTTTAAAATTCCAGTTATATTAGTCCAGCAGTAAAAAAAAATCCAAATGGGAAACTTAAAACTGAACTGGTGTTTTATTTTGCAAATATGCTTATCGTTTTATCGATCTCTCAGAATTGGTGTTGTAATTAGCTCATTTCCTCTGGTAACTTCCATAAAATGGGATTTGGGTGCGGCGATTACGATCTGTTTATTTTGTTGTTCAAAGTCGTAGACGACTCATTTTTGATAACTGTTTTTCCGGCCACCTGCTAAACTCTAGGCTTCTAATTTCACTTACTCTGACCTCCCATATGGCATAATTCCATAGTAGCATAAAATTAAAAATAACTTAATCTAAATTCCACATATAAACGAAAAGCTTATGAAATAACCGCGACTTTTTAATGTAAAAATTTCTGTTGATTATGTTGAATAAAAGCTAATTTCAAATCCCAAATCGTATCAAATAATCTTATGAGTTTCTTCTTTGAATTAAAATGTCTGTTGATTATGATCGCTGAGCTGAGATAGTTTTTTAAGAGATCCTACAAGAACCTAATTATTTCCTTGTAAGTATTTGCTTTTCATTTTTGCCATTCGTTTTTTTTTTCATTAAAACGCATTTTTTAAAAACGCTTCGGATTTATGCCAGTTAAGGTTTATGCTATTTGAGGCGGAATGGTTCTCTATTTGCGTATCATTTAACAGATTTTTGTGCTGGGAGTATGTCTAATCGAAAAGTGAAGTTATCTAAGGTGTTGTGATGCTAGTGATGGGGGATGTTTATTCACGCCGTGTGAACAGATTATATCTCTTGATTGCTTCCGTGGCTATCACTTAAAGCCCATCCTGTCTCAATTTAGAGACCGCAACCGGAAGGAACGGAACAATCACCCCCCCCCCCCCCCCAACTCTCTCTCCCTCTCTCTCTCTCTCTCTCTCTCTCTATTGGATTGGCCTATACTGATTGTGCCACCAGATCCCATGACGGCCCTCAGCCCTCCAGTCGATTAATAAAAATTGCAGAACCCCTTCCCTATTTATAAGCCAGCTCATTGAGAAGATAGTTGTCTAGAACTTTTGGATCTCTTTAACTATATCCCCCCTCGGGTACCTAGGAACGAGTATCCCCCCTATAAAGAAACGAATCAACTTTTAAGCATATGAGAATTTTATACCTAGTAAGAAATCCCCTCTTGCAAAAGGTGTATATAGTTAACGATATCCGAACTTTCTGTGTACGGTGGACGATGAATGGTGCAACGTCTACAATCGAAACGAGACAAATTCGAGCTAACCAAGATTTCCATGAAAGGACCGAAGAATCCTGGAAAAAGATCTCATAAAATTACCAAACGCCGTAATATTTCAGTAGTTTTTTTATTGTTTGTAAGAGTTAATAATTAGCCAAACATTTTTGAGTCGCGCCTGCATTTTTATGTGATTAAACACAAAAGCTGCATTAAAACATTTAAAAAGACAGAAAACCATGTGCTTTTTTGAGAATTTACCCCTCAAAGCACACTAATGACCAAAACCAACAAAAAGTAGCTTTTTGTATAATATATCGAAAAAAAATCGAAAATATTTCCTTTGGTTTTGGTCATTAGTGTATAATATATCGTCAAAAAATCCGCTGTGAGAGGTGAAAAAAGCAATGATCAGAGATGTCCTCCCGATAATGAAACCGCTGTTGAATAGAACTGCGAAGAAATAAAAGGTGAGCGGTGGTGAAGTGTTTACGTCTCCGCCTCTCAATCGAAAGGTCGGATGTTCGAGGCCCACCATGATCCGTGCTCGTTGCTTGAGGGTGAAGCAACATTAACCAGCCTAGAAAAATAACCAAAAAAATTGCTTGTAGTTCTGAAACAGGGGCACAACAGCGGTTCGCCGTGATGAGCTGTACAGCTCTTGTGTTGGTCCTTTCCCCCGTGGATAAATGGTCTTAATTTAAAAGACATTTCTGATAGGCTTCGGAGCAATGACTCAAACTAGCTGAGCAAACTTTTGTTCACCCTCAAAAAAACGAACACAGATCACGGCGGGACTCGAACTCATAATCTGTGGTTTAGACTCAGCGTTCTTACCTCAACTCTCTCCTCCTTGAGTGACAGTTTTTGAGCGACACCCTCCCGCGTGACCACATCTGGATAGTGACACTTCAGAAATGCCTCTTCTAACTCTTTCAGCTGCTCCTCGGAAAAAATAGTTCGATGCCTTCTTTTCCGCCGAGCCAAACTTGAACACAATATTCAAAATTTAACTTCGTTGAAATAAAATCTATTTGTTACATGTTATGGTTAATTTTCGAAAGCTGCAATTATAACTAAACATTGAAAATTCAAATTTTTTTTTTGAATAGGATCAATTACAAGTCTTTATACTAGCAAATTGACTAGAGATGTAAAAAATAACAAAACATCAGCTTTTACTGATTTTCGAGAGGGAATTTTTTTTTCAATTGAGCTCTCAAAACTGTGAAAAAACTCGATTTCAGCCATTTTTTTTATTTTTGCAGTAACTTTGTTAAAAAAGACGTATTAGGGCATCTTTAGAAAGTTACAAAAATGCTTCATCCCTTTTCGTTCTCTGGTAAGAAAAGTGTGCTTCGGTTTACGTTTCAGACAACTTTATTCTTAATTAAAAACTGACAATTTAAAGTGTTTCTTCCAATTAAAGTAGATCCTCGGCTTATTTTATAGCGAGTTTAAAGTAATTTTCACATACCTTGCGCGCATCAAAGCTCCCTGCCACAAAGCCACGTTCTGCATATGCGCCGCTGCCACCCCAAGGGTTCCCGCTCCGACTCCAACTCCCAGGGTTCCCGCGGACCCTGCGCCTCCTGGAGACGTCATCATTTGCTGGTGCAAATCATCCGCTGCCGTGTTACTGTTCTGCGCCATGACTGTTCCGCCGGTCGCGACAGCCGATGCCGCCGCTGCTGCTGCGTTGCGGAACAGCTCTGGTCTCGAGATGAATTGCGGGAGGGTATTCTGGGGGCTGTCTTGTTGCTGCAGGGGGAGCGAAATCATCTGTTGCTGTTGCTGGGGGGTTGAAGTCCTTGGAGAGTTTTGGAGGGCGTGAGTCTGCAGCAGATGTTTCAACAGGTATGCGGCGGCGTGATTGTCTTCGGATCTCAGTTGTGACTCGGGATTATGAACATCGAGTCCCGCTGAAAACAAGCATAGCTATTTAGTCTCAACTAATCCTATTAACTATACAGTTCAATTTACGATGGCTAACTATGACCGACAATTTAGATTGTGGTATGTTGATCTGAATCGAACTCCTCAGGTATTTGAGCATTTTGAGTTTTCCTTTTTTGCATTTTTAGACTTGATTTTTTATTTTTTCTAATTGCGGTGCGGAAAAATATGATCATTGAATGTCTTTTAAAGCAAAAAAAATGGTTTTGGTCGTAAGTTTCTAACCTTTTAAGGGTGACGTAGAACAACCCGATCATTGATTTTTTTGAATAGTTTCTCTTTCTCTTAACATTATTTTCTCCATTTTGGGGCCCACAAGGTGAAAATCAATGTTTGTGAAAACTTAACTTATATCAAATCAACTTTGTTACAACTACAAACTACACAACAAAACTACACTAAAGAAAAGCAATCTCCACCCAGGAAACTTTTAATTTCAATCTGAAAAAAATGCTTACAGTTCGGGCTAATTTTGCTGAAATTATACGGAGGTTGCTGTTGTTGTTGTTGCTGTTGTTGTTGATTCACAAACGCACTGTTGAGCTGGGCTGTCAAACTATTCTGCTGTTGTTGGTGATTATGGTGAGCTGAGGGGGAGATCGAAATTCCACCACTCAGTTGGGGGTGTGCTGCAATACTATCCACAGTATTGATCAGGGCGGCTAAACTGCTATTGTTGCTCTTATTGTTGCTGATATTATTATCGGCCAATAGAACTGTCGGCTGTAAGACCGAATTCAGGATCGAAACAGGTAGACTATGTTGCAGTTGTTGCATTTGCAGATGTTCATTTTGCCGAAATTGTTGGTTTTTCAGCACACTTTCGAGAAGAAACTGCTGCATATGAAGTGGTAGTTTCGAAAAAACTATGTTGTTGTTTTCGCAAAGTCCTGAAATCCCGAGGAGAGAGTTTGCAGTCGGGATATCATGCTCGTTTTTTATTGGAAAGGGCAAGTGCTGGGCAAATCCGTTCGGCGGCGAAAGAATGTCGTCGATTTTGAATGACGACATATCAGATTTTTTAAATTGATTTTTTTTCGAGTTTTCAACAAAATTTGAAATTTTTAGCAAGATAATAATTATTCAATCAAGCTGTGCTAACTAGTTGACTACCATTACGCGTTTCTTGTTTGCTAATCAAAGATAGGTAAGCTAAAAATTAGCCAGTTTATCGCGATTTTGTTGGTGCGATTTTAAACACTTGTAGTGTAAGTTGTAATCAAGTTAAGTTGAACACGAATCAAATGTTAGTTATTACTGATTAATTTTACACTTTTTATGTTTTACAAACAACTATTGGTTCATTTTTTAATCAATGCCAGAGCGGCAAAACTGACCAGATTTTTTGGACTGTTTTTGGCGGGTGAGAAAAGTGAAAGTGATTGCTTGGTTGTTGATTTTTATCAGTTATAATAACAGTTTTACATTAGACTGTTTCCGCTTAGATGCGTGATTAACTCGTGAACTAACTTAGCTCACACCTGTCATTGAAAAATTTCCGCTTTTGTCCGGATGCTTCAAGATTACTTTTTATCCCTATTGTCACTAGTACTAACTGCTTAGCTCTCATCTCTGTAGCAGTTGTAGAACAGTGTGAAATAACTTGTCAACGTCCTTTGTTCAAGCCTGAAATTAATCCCCCATAAGCATCTTTTCTTTAATTTATCCCCACGACCAGTTTACTAATCCAAAAAATCATAAAAACACTCGTTAAGTTTAGCAGAAAGTAATAACAGTAAATACTGCAAAATAATAATGGGTAGGATTTCCGCTTTAATTCTATCTTTGTGGCTGTATAACTTAATCTTTTTTTGAAAAAACATGGAGCTCTTTTAGTTTTTTATTGAAAAACCGCATAAAGCTGGTAATTAAAACACTTGTCTAGTTGATGTGATTTTTTTCAAAGAGAGAAAATTTGCTCCATTGTTAATCAATTTCGCATCTGACAACCTTTAGATGGTTTGTTATTTGTCCAAGCTTTCATAGCTATTAGCCAGAAAAAAGCCAGATTTCAAAAATAAGCTTTATTAGCAGCGCTGCAGTCATACGGTCGACCAGTTTCGAGCAGTTTTTTTCTGAAACGAGAAAAAAAACATATGGATAATAGAATCTATGCGAAAAATTTCTAAGTTCAGCAAAAAAATCATGAAAAACTTTCGAGAAAAAGATGAGAAAATTTCGAGAAACGATTTTGCAAGACATATCTGACTTTTTAAAAAAGTAATCCGTTTCTGTACAAGAAGCACAGAATGTTCCAAGCATTTCGCGAACAATTTTTTTAAAGCAATCGCAATCAAGAGTATCCTATCCGGTCGCTGAATAAGAAACACTGAAAGCTCTGGCCTGATAAAAAAGTCAGATATTTTTGTTCCCCCGACCATTGAAAATGGGGAGGAACTTTGTATACAGGTGTCATTTAGTTTTTTTTCTTTTTTCGTTTTCCACGCAAAATCAGCTACCACGAATAATCATCGGACTGGGTTGAGTGATATATCATATTGAAACTCTGTCACTCGTGATTTGAACAACATTAAGGAATTTTCAAAAAAAATTGCCAGTTTAGAGAAAAACTGGTCTAAAATTTTTGATTTTTAGTCTGTTTCAAGCAAGTAACGTTCATTATTTAGGCTTAAATGCATATACAAATTTAGACGGCTTACATAGCTCTTTTCTGGCAAAAAAAATTTTTGAAAAAATTTGAAATTTATAGAGCAAAAAAATTGAATTAAGAAATTTAAAAAACGTCTGAAATGTTTATGCCTAATTCACTAATATTCTAAGCGTTTGTATCTAGCTCTATCATCACACGCCGTAAAAAGGCACTAACTTGAAAAAAGAATTCTGAGAATGTGGTCGGAACATTCTGAGCTACTTGCACAGCAACCGGCTATCCTTGTTTTTATTTGGAAATAGTTTTCCAAATTTTTCAATAAGTTTTGTATTGAGACAAAATATTGGGTACGGCGTATCATTTTTGGAGAATAGCTAAATTCTTCTTGCCTTAAATATGTATCTGACGAACGCTACTCGCCCAAAATTAAACTGAAAACAAAAAAACTTCCAGCCGATTTTTCTCGACACTGACTTCGTTTTTTTTGAAACTTCTCAGTGGTAGTAACAAAAATGATTGAAATATGCTTTGAAGGACTAATTTAGTTTTGTTTTTTAAAAGTTCAAAACTTCTTTAACTTAAAGTCAAGTTTTGGCTTAGCTGATATAGTCTTACAAAAATCATCTGAAAATAAAAGAAACAGGAAAGACGTAGTTGGGCACAAAATTTAAAAAAGCCGCCTTCAGGCAACGGAGACCACGGGATTCGAACTCGGACCTCCCGAGGAAGCATCACTGGTTTTAATCACGTAGTCGCTTCTGGTATTCTGTTTTTTTTTCACGCATACCATATCATTCAAAATCGGGAAGCAAAGAAGTCGCTTTAATAAAGCGGATATAGCTACATATAAGGTTTAAATAACTTTTGAATTAAAATTAGCAACTTCATCGACCAAAACACTTTTAAGGCAACTTCTTGCATTCGTTTAGCTCACAGAAACATTTTGTAAGCAAAAAGGCAAAAATGTTGTAGTTTGGATCAAGTTTACACCCTCATGCTTGATTCTGATTGGCTGAAAAGTTAACATCCCCCAACGGCTTGCTTTGGGAGTGGAGATTGGAGGAGGGAGGATGTTAACTTGGTCCGATTATGTGAGCTTACCACTTGATCGCAACACCTCTGGTTTTTTGAACTTTTGCTGATTTTATTTCTTTGTTTGTTTAATTTACCCCGACTACTTTTCGTGAGTACTTTAGAACAAGTTTGTCGTTGTTGTAGAACAAGACAAGTCTTCTCGACAACCGAAGTACCGTCGTGATTAGACACCAATTGAGAGATCTAAGCAGGTTGTCGCTTTTCATTCTGCTCTGATAACAACTTTTTCGTCCCATAACTAAAGAGTGATTTATTAATCTAACATTTTCACGAGTTTTTATCGCTCGTTCAACAACTCTTTGCAACTTAATTCGAGATTTTGAACGCTTAATGAGAACACATCGTTTACATGCAGTTTAATCCGGCTTGTCGTAAGAATGAAGATTGTTTTGTTAGAATATCAAAAAATGTAGTCTATTTGTTGTTTGTCTTTTCAATAGAAAACAACACTTAAGCCGTGATTACTTTTATCTTGCATAGACACCTTGATGACAAGCTGCTTGGCGAGCAAGCGCAGATTAACAAGTAGCCACAAGTGACTTTAGTAATTTATTTCATCACTTTTTTTCTATCCTCCCCTTTTTTATTGATGTCATTTATCAAATATATCTCGATTATAAAAATTGAAGATAACAAAACTCTCTTGTGAAGGCGCTCGACCAGATCAGCTTAAGCTGGATTGTTTACGATGGTACTACTTTGTGTAAGACTTGCTTGTATTTTAGTGAGCGTAAACACTCTTCACCACTTTCAACAACACTTCGCTTGTTCTCGCCACAATTAAGCTGCTGGTTAAATGTACCACTCAAACGACCACTCAAGGGGCCGAACGTCACATAAATCGAACCGCTTCACAATCAACAAGTACCATTTTACCAATCAAATCAAAGAGTAAAACTGAATCGTGTTTCCTCGCTAATCGGTCTTTGAGTGGATCGGCGCTCCGGGCGGGTTGTTCGAACACCACCGAGCGTTAAATGCTCCCTCATAACAGAAGTAATTATGACAACTTGGGACCTGTGAATATTTAATACGGCATACAAAACAATTTAAACGCATAAAATGATATCCAATTCAATCGTATGAACAACATTACTCCGTTGCCAGTGGCAAGTGCAGGAATTTTTTGAGCGAGGGGGCGGTTTTAACGTTTTTGAACTTTTTTGTGGCGGTTGAACTTTTTTGGATTGTTGTCGACTTCCATCGGTCGACCTTACTGATTTCCAAGCTCCCTAAAACACTAAAAAGATCGTATTTTGCTGAGCGAAAAAGTCTGCGCCGCAAGCGAGCATTTGAAAAAAAAAACGGGCAAAAAATAACACAAAAAAAATTAGCAAAAATCGAAAAAATTTTCAATATACGGAAAATTGTTGTTATATTACTTTCATATATGAAAAACGATTGTCGTAAAATTTTCGGTTTGTATGGAACTGTACAACATTTTATGATAAACATTTTTTCAAATACGAAATTTGTATGACACGCACCTTCGGCCAATCGGGGCAATTAACGCCATAGCTGACGTTTAAAGCGTTCTATCAGACCGAAAATCCGGTCTAAATTTGTTTGCTATCCAAATCATTTGAGTCTCAGGTAAATTGAAATTATTTTCGGAGCAAAGCAATACTCAACGAAAAAATGATACCGAGTCCAGCCTCAATTGGTTTTTAAACTCAGATAAGATAGTTTTACCAAAAAATAATGAATAGTAACAACCAAAAAATTTCCCAAAAAATTGACTTTATTTTAGCAAAAACCACAGTTCGGCGCATTCTCTGCTAATTGCGCAGCAACTAGCATCTCTTGTTATAACTGGGCTTTTGTGATGTCAGTTTAAAAAATGATTTTAACAAGCTGCGACCAGTTTGTTATCTTTGTTCCATAATAGATTTTTCCGCACTCCGTTCAAAACAAAATTTTTGAAAGTAATTTTCTTTGCAAATATTCTCTACTTTGAAATACAGTTAAGAGAAACAGAGTTAATAAGGGGGGGGGGGGGTGCACGACAAAAACCGTCAAACATTCTTTTAAATATTTTCTTCTTTTTTTGAAATAAAATTTTTCCACGCATAAATCCTACGGTTACGTAGCAGTTTTTAGACAACCGTGTATTCAGACACTCTATCAACCAATCAGAATCGAGACAAGGAAGATATGAAAGTCATTTCTTCCTCGTCTCGATTCTGATTGGTTAATACAGTGTCTGAATACGCGGTTTTCTAAATACAGACCGCACTCGCATCAGAATTAAAGTATAATTGGCATTCGGAATGATCAAGTAGATTCATTCAATCATTTCCCCTTCTTTTTAGTCACTCTGTTTTAATTTTACCCTTTGTTCTGACGTTTTCTAAACCCTCGTCTAATAAAAAGGATACTTTGAAAACTTAATTAATCGGATCTGATTAATAGATGAGAAAAATTCCATGGCAGTTATCTGAATTTTCCGATTCCAACAAAATATATAGAAAAAGATTTAATTTCATGATATGATGTATTAACTTGAAATACAGAAGCTGAAAATTTGAATATCAATTATTTTGGCAAATAACGTTCTAAATTACGACAATCAAACAATTCAAAAGTGCCGGACATTTATATTTTGCACAATGCCGCATAAACAGAGATTCTCCAAAAAATAACTCTGTTCAAACGTTTTTGTTTTCAACTGCCATACTTCCTTCTAAGAGCGACTATTTGGAACCATCTTCTCATCCCTCGGTCCACTGGCTGAACAGCTTTTCGTTAGCGAATTCATCGAACATTGGATAAAACGGGACCTAAACATAGGCAACTTAAACTGATGGCTAATGGAATACCTAGACGGACAAAATTCAGAATGAATAGAGTTTTGAAAAAGTCAGTTGTGCAAAAAGTATAGAGCTCGTCCGAGGAGATTTTTATTAAAGGCTTTTTTGTTCCGACCATTCAAAACGGGGAGGAACTTTTGTCATCGGGTGTGTTTTAGTTTTTTTTTAATTTTCAGGCAATGTCACGTATCACGAATAACCAATGAATTGGGTCGAGCGACATATCATTTAGAGCTCCTTCAGTCGTGATTCAAACAATTGAAAATATTCAACTTTTTTTTTCAAATGTTTCAACCCAGAAGCGAAGCTGCGCTTCGCAAACACTTGCGAGAACACTACCGAAAAGCAGCAATAAGCCTCGAATTTGCAAAAGCTCGAAAGAGCAAAAATCTGCGACCTAATAAATTTGAGTCTCACGCACTAACCATTCAGTCACGGATGCTCAAAAATCCCCGAAACATTACGAGGCCAAACTGTGCACTGGATAGGGGCACAATTTTGTGTCTCTGTATGTTCTTGGATTCCAAAGACAAATCTTTAAACCAGTAAAAACTTCATCGGAACGATCAAAGGAAATGAAAGAACAAAAGAAGAACAAAGGGAGCGTCCTTGTTGCGGAATCCACTTACATTTCACAAACTGCACAGTTTGACCTCGTACTGAAACTAGCCATCAATAACGCCGGTACATATGCTAATAAATTGCCAATTCGATGCAGCAAAAGTAGCACCAAATACGAAAAGATACAATTTTGCATGCAATACATCGCAAATCATAAAACCACATTATGTATAAATTATGCATTTCAAAAAATGCGAGATATATCGAGTTAAAAATTTTCTGAAATCGAGATTAATATTGTTATGTTGTTTGAAACAAATAGCTTTCTCCGGTTCACTCGATGAATTAAAAATGCATCAACTGAGTAAACTTATAACTGTACGAATGTCAAAGCACATGTTATCAATAAGCTGTAAAGGCGCAACAAATTGCCAATTCGACGCAGCAAATATAATGCAGCAAATAATGTTGCTTTAGGTCGCAATAACATTTACAACTCAATCGCAACAAAAGTCGCAACAATATTTGCGACTTAGGTTGGAACAAAAGAAAGTTCGTACTATACCACTTTGCTTCGCATGCGTAATCAAATTTGATTTTTTAAATTTTTAGTCTAATTTTCAGCGATAAAAAAGTAAGCTTATATTTGAAACTAAGCCTTGAAAACTTAGTTTACTAAAGTTGAATTAGTTTCCGAAATTTCTTTCAGCTCTTTCTTGTGAACAAAATTGAAAGATCGTATAAAAAAAAACAGCTTTACTTTTCAATTTTTTTTTAGTAAAACTGTTATCAAATGTTCCTGAATGTACTAGTTTAGCAGCAGTATCGAAGTTCTAGGCTTTCGTCGAGATCCTCTTATCACACCAAAATCAAAGAACGACGCAATTTACAAAAAAAAACAAGAAATTGTTTTCTTTTTTTATGAGGTCGGAACTTCCTGTGCTACTTGTCCAGCAACTGGCTAAAACAAATTTCGCATTTTCTTTTTTTAAACGGGCATTTCGAGTACAAGGAAACCAGAAAAAAAATGAGCGACTAATTTCAATTTGAATAATTTTCAATTTTTGAGCTTCAGATAAAAAATCACGGCAAAAGTTTTCCAGCTTTAAAAAACTTTGAGTATCAGATTTTCATAAGATCAACACATGTTGAGACAACTGGATTAATAAGGAACTTTTTATTCGCTGCAAAATTAAAAAAAAAACCACAATCCATTCGAAACTGAAAGTCATTCACGTGCCTACACGCCATTTCCAATTTGGTAATTGAAGAGCGTAATTAGCTTACCGTTTAGCAAATGCATTAAAAAACGCGATAACTCAACTTTAAGTGTGAATAACGTTTCAGACCTTTTTCTGAAAAAAACTGAAGCGGCCTTTATAAGTGTCTTTCTTCAGTACCGTTCGTTGACACTCGAAAATTGTTTTATACACTTCTTTTTTGAAAAAAATATCAGTTTTAACATTTACGGGACACTGTCGGTTTTTGAGCAAGTATTTAAAGTACAAGATTGAAATTTCAACACATGCTATATATTAAAGAAGCTAGCCGGATCAATACTTGAGAAACTTTGCTTGGAAATAGTAAGACAGCCACTATATCATAACTACTTTCAGAGGTGTTATTACTGTCGAACATCCTTGCAAACAATACAATGAACAAAATTTTTTTCTCTAATTTTTTTCGGTCGTTTTTCGCGGTCTAAAGAGTCAGTCACACTCATAAGATTCCGAAAGAACAAGACAACTAGCAACTCTCACATAACTTTATTTACGATTTGTCAAAAATTCAACCTGATTTAATTAATAGTTTCAGAGAAATCGACCAAAACAGGAAGAAAAAACTAGTTCATTTGCTCGCTGAAAGCAAAAAAAATGTCCCGTGACTGTACAAACAGCTCTGTTAAAATATACGCCACTGTCGAAAAATATATATATAGTGATATATGTTACATGCTTGACTATTTCTTGACTATTACATACCTTGACTATTTCTTCAAATCCTTCTTTTAATTCTGGCTCAGTGAATTTACTCTTGTAGATGTTGTAGGCCACATCAGGAACTCTCCTCACTTCGCCTTCAGTGTCAATCTGTCTCACAAAATTCAGATGTCTGGCTACTGAAACTGGAGTGTCCATGATGAAGCATCTGGCGGGAACACCTGTCAACATAGCACACATTTTCCGTTGGAGTAAAATTGCCAATGGACTCAGTACAATTTTCAAAGATTTTGGGTCACAAACATACATGAAATAAAACATCAAATTCAGCATCTTGGAAGGATAAAAGCAGTTATAAATTTATTAAACAAAAATTTCAACAGAAAAACATCAAAATGCGAACTCTTTATTCGCGTCGTTTGAAATTTGCACATGCCCGCTACTTTCTGCGAACTTGAAAAAAATTATCGACTATCTTCGAGACCAGTTAACCGCGATAAAATGCTGCGAGTAAAGATAAGACAGGTTTTTGGCTGGGAATCTGAGCAAGATGATTGCAGTTGGTCCATTCAAAAAAAACATAGCCGATAGACGGTTGCAAAACAGTCATCGAAGAAAAGAAACAGCAAAAAATGACTTTCGAATTTTAGGGGAAAATAAAAAAAAACTTGAAAGTCTCTTTGAATTTCAAAAACAATTTCTGATTGACAATTTTCTGATTAAAAAAACCAATTTTTAGAAAACGGTATCAATAGGTAGGTTTTTGATTCCAATGGGAAAACTGCCTTTTAAACTAGAAGTCGATCACGTTTACCGTGACATATACACTTTTGCTGTTCGATAGTGGATTTTACCTTCCTTTTAACAAAGGAAACGAACTGAACTGAAAAAAATAAACCAAAAGCCAAACCGCAAAACTGAGCGTAAGCAAACTTTAAGACTTTTTCCTGACAAAAAAAAATCACCAAAACCCACGAAAAAATTCTCCTATCTCACTTATAATAGATATGCAGAAAATTTCCGCTATCTTACAACTTTTTTATAAGAAAAGTTCTGAGAGATCAGCTTTTTCGCAAAAATCAAAAAAAAACGCCAAAAATTTTGAATTTGGTTTTATACCATAATAACAGATAAAAATTAGTTTTGGATAATTTAGTTTTTTTATATTATGCATGTTTTAACTGCGGACGTATTGTATGTGGGGTTCAGGTATGTATCGACAAAATTTCTAGTTGCAACCAAAAAAACTAATAGCAGAAGGTTCGTTAGCGAAACGAGCCTATTGGCCTACAAGTTTTAGTCATTGTACTCTGGAGATTTTTTGATCTGGAAGAAAAAAAAAATAAAAAGACAAAAAAATTTAAAATTTTTCGAAGTAAAAGTTTCTATTTTTCAACAGGAACAACTCCTATCTTACAACTTTCTTTTATCTCACAATCTTGTAACCTTCTTATATCCTTCTTAGAGCCTAGTAATCTTCTTAGTAGCTATCTTGTAACCTTCTTAGAGCCTAGATTTATAAGAAATTGAAAGGTTCTTAGAAGAAAAGTTCCCATATAGCGAGTTTTGACCAACCCGGGTATATATGAGAGCAACCTTTCAATTCGTGAATGACTCTTAAAAACGCAAAATGACCATTTCTAAAGAAATTAGGACAATTTTTGAGCGGCAAATTGAATATGCACAAATTGAAATTAGTATAGGTCAAACTGTGTTTTGAATAAAAAACGAAAGCATAGCCAACAGATGTTGGAATTAGAAAAAGAACAAGGCATTTAGAAAAAATTGACTTTTTTTGATTTATTTTTAATTTTCAAATTTTGACACAGGCGAAGTTGCACTTCGCAAACACAAGCAAAAATATGACCGATAACGCTACTGGGAAAAACTGAATTAATAAAACTTTGAGTCTACAGATTTTTCAAGTAACGCACGCCAATTATGACGCATTAGCAGTACCAGCCAATTTGAAAACATTTACCAACTAACAAGCCTCAAAATATAGAGCAGTCTATGGAACAGTAATAACATGAAAAAAATGAATGCAAAAAATTAAATTAAAGTTTTTTTCTTTAATTTGAGATTTTTGTAAAAATCATCCCCCCACACGCCATATTGAGTAGGAACTGATTAATTTCGCTCCTAGTAACAAATTAATTATGGCGAATAAGCTTCCTTCAACCAATTTGGAACGATTTTTATGACGGATTAAATCTCCGCTTACCCGTTAATAGAGCGAAATATATCGCGCGCTAATTGTCCTAAATTGGCCGAAATGCCAACTTTTATACACTCATAACTTAACGAAAAATGATCACAGGTGAAATATCTTTCCAAATTTAGGCTCAGGACAACTATACTTTTCGAATGATAATTTAAAAATACCGTCAAAAATGGCTTGTTAAAAAGTCGAAACTTGTCTGGAGAAAAAAAACACCCTGAGCATAAATAATCCGTAACGAAAGTCGGAACAATAATAGTCTGTGTTAAAATCCTTAGCATTGGCTGTACTTGAATAAATTGAATATGCACAAATTAAAATTATCATAGGTCAAACTGTGTTTTGAATAAAAAACGAAAGCATAGCCAACAGATGTTGGAAAATGAAAAAGAACAAGTCATCTAAAAAATATTGACATTTTCTCGATTTTTTTTTTCAATGTTCAAAATTTGACACAGAGGCAAAGTTGCACTTCGCATACGCAAGCAAAAATATGACTGATAACGCTACTGGGAAAAAATGAATGATTAAAACTTTGAGTCTACAAATTTCGTAAGTAACGCATGCCAATTCTGACGCATTAGCAGTACCAGCCAATTTGAAAACATTTACCAACTAACATGCCTTAAATTATAGAGCATGGAACAGTAATAATATGGAACAGTAATAACATGAAAAACATGAATGCAAAAAATGAAATGAAAGTTTTTTCTTTAAATTGAGATTTTTTGTGAAAATCATCACCCCACACGCCATATTGAGTAGAAAGTGATTAATTTCGCTCCTAGTAACAATTCAATTATGACGAATAAGCTTCCTTCAACCAACTTGGAACGATTTTTATGACGGATTAAATCACTGCTTACGCGTTAATGGCGCGAAATATATCGCGCGTTAATTGTCCCAAATTGGCCGAAATGGCAATTTTTATACCCCCATAATTTTACGAAAAATGATCACTGGTGAAATGTCTTTCCAAATTTAAGCTCAGGACAACAATAGTTTTTGAATGATATTTAAAAAAATGCCGTCAAAAATGGCTTGTTAAGAAGTCGAAGTTTGTCTGGAGAAAAAAACACCCCGAGCATAAATATTCCGTTACTAAAATCGGAACAATATAGTCTGTGTTAAAATCCTTAGCATTGGCTGTACTTAATAGCTGATTATTGATTATTGATTAAAAAGAAAATTTTCAAAATGAACACATTTTATCGCAAAAATATTTGCGTCGCAACAATATTTGCTACTTAGGTTGGAAAAAAAGATATTTCATACTACAACACAAGCATTGCATGTGTAATCATATATATGAGTTCAAAAATTGTTCGTGACCGACATTTTCTCGTATAATTATCCCATTGAAAGAAAACTGGATCATTAGATAATTCTTCTATTCCGCTGCAAATTCAAAAAAACAAAGGCCATTTTTGAAACTAGAAATCATTTACGTTTTTTGCTACCTTTTCACTTTTGCCGTTCGATAGTGTAGTTTGCTTTTATTTCGACCAAGAAAATGAGCTGAGCTAAAAATAAATCCAAAGTCAAACCGCGAAAGTATAAATTTGAGCGTGAATGTAATTTAAGACTTTTTCCTGAAAACAATTATCCTTCAGACCTATATAAGCGAAAATCACTTCGTTCTTTCACAATGAAAAATGGGTAAAAAATCAAGAACGAACTTTAAGTGCCAAATTTTTTACACTTAAAAATGGGTATAAAATCAAGTGCAAAATTTAAGCGCCATACTTTTCACAACTGACCGTGTTTCTTAGCTATAGCCACCGATTGAGCCCTGGAGTCCACTGATGGGTTTGTGTTGTCCACCACCACACTCTTTCCTTCCTTCAGTCCATCAATGGCCATTTACATGTTTCTAACTTTTTCATGGAATTCAATATTGAAAAAGTCACTTTAAATAGCCAAAAAATGCAAAATAAAAAACATTTTCAACGTTTAAAAAGATGCAACAAAAGACAAAGGTCGAAGTCTTAGACAGTTTCATAAATTTTGCCTCACAAGTTTTTGGTTTTTAATCAACAACACTTTCAATAATCAATATGCATATACATGTTTTTAAATTCTAGGACTAAAAACTAAAAGAGGACTGAAAGATTTTAAATGAGAAAAAGACTTCAATTCAGTACAAAAAAATTAGGAGTCTTCCCCATGTAAAAAAAATGAAATGTCCATTGTGATGCCTTGAATGCTTCTTCTGCAGCCTTGAGACATTTAGCTTCAGTTAAGAGAGTGTCCCTGTTCACGTGTGTGTAGTGGGGGTGGGGGAGGAAGAAACGACGGAAGAAGGTGCTTTTGCCGGAGGCAGGGGGTCCACACAGCACCACTAGTTCAGGAGTCAACTAATGAATGAAAACAAATAAGAACATTAACACAAACAATATCGAAATTACAACCGTCTGAAAGGCACAAAAAAGGAGAAAAACTAAGCAAAAAAGTTCTTAAAAACGTTTGTTTTTAAAACTTCACCATGCAGTCCAAACGAGGACTACAAGGGATTTCAGTATGCATCATTGCTCATTTTGCAAGAGCTTCGATATATCGCTCATATCTCAATTTGCGTGGACAAAAAAAACACATCGCCAACCAAGCAACGCTAAAGCGCTTTCCTAATCTGTGATCTGAAGAGTAGCGAATCAGATCCGAAAATACTGACCTTGTGGTATTGTTTCTCGTAGTGCGTCTTGAACAGCTCCTTGGCAGAACGAGGATCAAACGAACCCCAGTCGAACTTAGTTTCGCCGCCCTCTTCCTTGAGGAAGAAAGATTCCGGGGTGTGAAATTGGCAGCCTATATTTGCTGCGAATTGTCGGTCAGAACAGGAGAAATCTTTCTTCGCTCCTGGATAGAAAGAAAAAATATGGGATAACTAAACTACAAAAATCAGCGGGGCGAAAATATAATTTAAGCCGAACTGAAAACTTTACGAAAGCAAGCCAGATATTCCGCCATTTGGCTCTTTTACGAGAGTAGCAAATTATAGCGAATAGCAAAGTATAGCCAAAATAGCATAAAATGTTCAAAGTAAATTTTGATTTTTTTAAAATTAAACTTCAAAAACTACGTATAAACAAGTGAACTAACGTTAAACAAGAATAAAATTTTCTATATTCGACCTCTTCTTTCTGTGGTCTAAATTAGTCTGAAAACCAAAAATTGGTCTGAAACACTACAATGTGAAAACGTTCATGATATTTTTTTGCATTATCAATCACGACTGCAAGGGTTTCAATATAATAATAATTGTCCACAAGGTGTCATCAAGTAGCGAATGCTTGCTCCGCTGCGCTTACTTCAGGCAGAAGAAGAATAGTGTACGTAAATCAGTGATTGCCGCTTTATCTACTGTTACGAATTGTCGCCTCGTTATGAACATCCAACGCCCTTGAGGCGACATTTCGTAACAAGTGACAATTCGTAACAGTAGATTAAGTGGCAAACACTGATTTACGCGCACTATTCTTCTCGTACCGAATATGAGCGCAGCGGAGCAAGCAGTCGCTACTTACCGATGCCTTGTTACGAATTGCCGCCGTTACGAACAGTCACACTAGCTCTATCGCTATAGTTCCTATCCACTTTTGTGAGAAAAAAGTAAGAAACATCAGATTTTAATATTTGAAAGAACTTGGAAACATTTTAATGCAAGCTGAGAATGAACTCTGACCTGGTTTCCACTCTTTGGCTCTTCCGGCCGCGTCACCCACGAACACACACTTGGACAGATCTGGTTGTAATCCGCCATTGTGATTGGCTGCCATGAAACTCCACATCTCACAGCTTGGTTTACGGAAGTGACTGTTACCAGTTGATATGTACACCTGAAACCCAAATGAAAATCATATACTTGGTTTTGAACATCTTTGATTTTCATTACGAGGCCAAACTGTGCTTTTTGGGAAATGTGAGCGGATTCCGCAACAAGGACGCTCCCCTGGTTCTTTTTTAATTGCAATTTCTTTGATCGTTCCGACAAGACGTAACATGTTTGAAGACCTCTCGGGAATCCAGGAACATACAGATACAAACTTGTGCGCCTATCCAGTGCACAGTTTGACATCGTAATGATTGAACTCAAAGAGATATTATTCACATTTGTTTATTGCTCACACAAGCCATATTTTGATTAGAAAAAATTCTACATGAATCATCAAATACAGGCAAAATTTTGTCGCTATAATTGATTTAGGTCTGATGGCGTTCTCTCAGGTGATCTTTTTGAAGGAGAATTTTTCATTTCTAATTTTGTTTTTGTAATGACTCCATTTCGAAACAATTTATTTTTATTAAATAGAATAGTAAAAAGTTCGGGTAAGGCAAAATTAAATGACAAGTGTAAATGAACTAGTTCGGATAAATTTTGCATGCAAGGTCACCCAATATTTGTCGAAGTGGCCCGAGTTTTCAAATTTAAGTAGTATTGGAAATGCTACACTAATATAAAAAGCTATTGTTTTAATTGTTTACATAAGATTCGAGTGGACTCTTTTCTATTCTAAATTTGTTCACACCTTGAGATAAGAATAATTTTTTAGCTTAATATTTGATTCGAATTTCAACTGAACAACTAAAACTACTACAAATGCGTTAATTGTCAGTTTTCCCATTGTGGCGGGGTTGAACATCGGGAAATCATGTAAGCAATGATTCAGATGAGGGCATTCTGAATAGCTTTCAAGCAATTAAATGAAGAATAACACGTTTTTCCATGCAATTCGATCAAAGCAGTCTGTGGATTTGAGGCCTAAAGTACTCAGGTCTCGTTCAACACAATCGATTTAGCTTTTTTTGAACTTTATGCTGATCCTTTCCATGGGACTTAAACATGGTCTGTTATTTTCAACACATGGTAACTTTCTCTGCGGTAAACATGGCCATACCATCGTAGACGCGATCGCACTTGAAGCTTGTCCAGATCAACAAGACCTGTCATTTTAATCTAAACTTCATTGGTAACTCTGTCTTTATAAATTACTCCGGTAATCCCACGGGAGATTTCATATCCGCACTCGTAAGCGAGCTGAATGTTGTTTTGATCTGCGCCCAGTTTTCAGAGCAGAAGATCGGAATTGGCAGGAGACAAGCTCCGTAGATATGACTCCTTGTAATCAAGTCAATATCTTTTTCTAGCAGCAGAGGAGCAACTTGCCGCTATTTTGTCCAGAAAGCTGCTAATCTGACCGACGTATTGCGTCACTTTCAAGGGAAATCATATCACCCAGATAGCAGAACTCTTTGACAGTACTCAGGGTTTCAAAATGATTAATCCTTAGAGTAGCATTCTCGTTTGAGTGATAACTAAAAGGATGATTGCATCTTGGACAAACATAATTAGTATTGCTTAAATAATTTTCTCAGGCGATTATTTTTTTTATGCATCCATTGATTATAAGAATTGCAGCGCATTGAATTAGCCGACTCCCTTCAGACTACAAGCACATGGATATTTTCCGGTTTTTTGAGGAATAGACTATTGGCCTGAAATCAAATGCTTTGTCTTATCCTTATTGATTTTTAAAACGAGTTTTAGCAAGCCTTGTTCCAAGTATTTAGCTCTCAATAGACTGGGATTACTTTCAGGGGACATCAAAAGGTCATCTGCATATAGCATATCCCATAGTACCATAGAACGACAGTTTCTCGTAGTCTCTTCCATTACAATTATAAACAACAATAGGCTAATTCCGGTCCTTGATGCACGCCTACTTTATTTTCGAAGCAATCACTGCATATTGCGGGCCGGCGAACTCTGGTTTTTGACTCGAGTAGAAGCAAATTATTAGTCGTACTGGATTTTCGGGAACCCTGTTGCTTCAAAGCCCATGGGATCAGTTCCCTGGGAACACGGTCGAAGGCTTTTTTCGAGATGATTAAGTATATGGTGCGGGTTTTTATCTTTTCCGCAAACAGTTCCTTCAAATGTCTAATAAGAAAAACGGCAGCGGTAGTTGATTCACCACCAATACAGCTAAATTGCATATCATTTAATTTTATCAATTGTCTCGTACGTTTTTATAAATGTTCCAGTAATCGGATGCCTCTGTAGGATCAACATTCTAACGGATCGCCTTTTCCTTTGTAAAAAGTAACAGTTTCAATTTCGCTCAAGTCGAAGTTGATTAGAACAGAGACCCATACTTCCTTAAGGATTTCAAGAAGTCCAGCAAGTCTACAACCTCCGGCAAATTTTATCATGTCCGAAACTAGCCCTGTTGGTCCTAGGCTTTTCTTATTTTTCATCTTTTTCAGTGCATGTGCCACTTCTTGGAGAGTAAAAATTCCTCCAATGGGCCAACCACTGGGGGACAGCTTCCGTTTCAAACGGATTTGTTTCAATTAAAAAATTCGAGAAGTAGCTTTGCCACTACGAGAGAACATCTTGGTCACAAGTAAGGAAGATTCCATCACATTTTTAATGAGTTTGACTCCAACTTCATCATTTTGATTATTGTTCAATTGTACGGCAAGGCGGAACACCCTATGACGTGTCCGCGTTTTTGACAGATCTTGACACCATTTCTGGTTGGATTCTTTTTTAGCTTCAGCAACTAGCTGTTTCACGAGTGTGTTCTTCCTCCGATAAATCACCAGCGCTTGCTGATTTCCAGACTTCTTCCCTTTTTTGAACAAAAATCTGTTCTTTTTAACTCGTTTGCCTATTTTTCCTTCCATCACCATCTTTTTCGCTTTCTCGCTCGTTTTTAGGTTGTTTCGCCCCATACGTTTTTCGCTTCTTCTAGAAATGTTGATTTGAAATTTTCCCAGTTGGACTGTATTTTATTACTTTCTAGCTTGTTTCTTGATACCTCTTTCTACTTGATTTGGTTTTCTGTTTCATTTAATTTAGTTTCATTGGTTTTGATTTTTAGCAGCAAATGGGAAATCACACTTTTAGATAGAAATCACACACAACAATTCTGTGCTGAGCAACACGATAATCGCCCTTGATAACCTTCAAATTTTTGACACAACTTCTCTGCGACGATCGTGTTAGAATGAAAACATGGATGGAGTTTCCTCCAATCTTAAACATACAGTTATCATCTTTGAAACAATTTTTAGAGAAAGTGTCTAGGACGGTTAGTTTTTGTGTATGGCAGAAATTGATAAGTCTCTGACCATCCCAGTTTTGAGTACAGAAGCAAAATGGGCCAATTTCACAGTCAAAACAATGGCGCCACCCTCCAATATGACCATTCAAGTCACCAAGTAGGAAAGTATATTCTTGGTCATGTAGAGATAACATAGTATCTTCTAGAGTGTTATAAGTATCTTCTTTTTCCGAATCATCTCTACCAGCTTGTGCTGCACACGCAGATACGAAATTACTCACAGTATGCCTTAAAATAGGTTAAAGGCGCATAACACGTCATTTACTCTACTGACTCCCAGTGTTTTCAATAAGTCGACCATTGATGGCTATTGCAACACCATTTGTGCCTTCTAAGTCTCCTTGGCAGAAAAAATTAACTTTGTGGTTTCCATCTCCAAAACAAACTGTTTGAGCCGCTCCCTTTGAAAAGATTTTCTATTAGACAGCACACAGATAATTTCTTTCTTTCTAGCGTTTCGCATATCTCAAGGCATTTTTCTTTTAGAGTGCCAACGTTCCAGGAGCATAATCGGGACGACTTGTTTTTTAGGGTGGGTTTTTGTCTTATTTATATTAGCATTAGTCACATTAGTAGTTGAAAACGTGAGACTCTTAGCACCCCCTCCCCATTTAAACGGCGCACGGGTCGAGGTCCATTGCCTGTTTGACTTTCCTTGAGTTGTTTGCAGCGGTGCCCTTTACCGAGCATTTTTCAGACCAAAGTCCTCATGGACCGGATGCCCTTCCTGACGTCCACCCTCCTCCTCTTTCCGGGTTTGGAACCACTAATTCTATCTTAATAATAAGACAGACCAAGCGGAGTTAAACAACTTAATTCAAAACTTTAAAAGTCAAATCCAAGTCTCTTACTTTTCGAATTCAAAACGGATTTTTTAATTCTTCCAGTTCTATTAACCTTGGAAAAAGGCAAATATTTTCAATAAAAATTAACGTATGGTCGAGGGAACTTGAAATTTCTCCACGACACCAGTCAGGCGGAGTGTGCCTACTGTTTTGGCTCCGGAAATAGATGAATACCCCACTGCTCTGAATTTTAAAATACTTAAAGCAGGTGGAAATATTATGATTTCACCCAGTAAAACTATATATTGATTTTTTGATCAAAAAAATGAAAAAAAAAAATGCAAATTTCTGTCTCCTGATCAATAAGACGATAAGAGATTAAAAGAGGACTGAATTCTAATAGCCGGTGCAGGGAACAACAAACGAAAAATGTTGCTGATGAGCCTGCCTGCATTTTTCAGTGACTCTAATTTCTTACGCTCAAACAGACGGCTGAAAAATTCTGAACCTGCAGGCAAGCTCAGACAAGGAGAAGATTTATAAAGAACTAATTTCTTCAATTTCGATCAAAAAACCTCAAATTACAACTAAAAGTATTTTGTTTTTATAGTCTCAGTTACTTCCAAGTTTAAAAAAACAAAGCTTGATTTACTTTAGTACAAAAAAAGTATCTGTTTCCTTGCCAGTTCCACGCTCCTGTGTCGGCCTTAACTACCAATCTTTCGGTTGACAGCCAAACTCGATAGCCGATTGCGCCACATCTTTTCTCCGTGAAACAATTCAAGTAAGTGATTGGACTGTAGTGGAAGTGAAAGGACATCAAAAAAATAGTTTTTTTTTCAAATGGTTTGCTTTCCAAAATAGGTTAACTTTGAGATACTTTACTGAATTTCACTCAAATCATTTTGTTGGAAGAGAACCAGA